TTAGGGTATATTTAAGTTCTGGGAGTTTAAGTGCCACTTTGGTTGTTTGGTCTGCATGTTCATTGTCAAACACAGCAACATGGCCAGGGATCAATATGAACTCTACCTAAGGCCTGTAGATCCTGACTGGTTTTCAGTATCTCGTTTATTAGTTTAGGTTGATTTTTGGTGGTTTGGATTTTGATTGCTTCCAGCCTACTGAGTGAGTCTTAGAATTAAAATTGTATTGTGTTGTTTGATGAGCGGGTCATGGAGTGCTGTTACCATGCCCATTAATTCTGCTGTGAAACATATATTGGCTGTCTGAGAGTGTGAATCATTCAGTTTGTCTTGAGGGTTGTGATGTGTGGATGCCAAAACATGTTTTGTAGGGGTCAAAGGATCCGTCTGTGTGAATGTGGCACCAGTTTGACCAGTGTATGTAAGCTAGTGTTTTGTTTTTTTGCTAGTTTTGTTAGTTTTTTTAAAATTTATTTCGGACGAGAGTTTTGTGTTTATTTTATTAATTTTTAGTTTAGGTGCGAGGACACTGGATGGGGTGGTGTTTTGTTTTAGCTTATTTAGGTTGTTTTCAGTTATGAGGTTTGTAATGCGTTGCAAAACTGGGGTTAGAAGTTGGTTTTGCGAACAAGCTGTTGGAGGTTTGAGCACATCTTGCTATGTATCAGTTGTTTGATTGAGGGGTTTGTTTGGTTTGATGCCCAGAAAATTGGTTAATTGTTATGGTCTTAGTTCTAAGTGGATTTCGCCTGGTAGTGCTTATGTTAAGTGAGGTTCCTTGCTGTGTGCTTGTTTTTAGGGCGTTGTATTGTATTGAGTTTAGTTTAGTATTTATTTGTTTGGAGTGATGTAGCAGATGTAGTCTATTTTTGAGGTCATTAGTGATGTATATGATGTTGACAGGGTGTCCCCACAGGTCCCCCAGTCAGAGCCAACCAGGGTGTTTAGGTTTTTTGTGCCCCTGCTTATTAGATTGGTAATGTGGGCATCCGGGATGAGGTGCTGATCGAATATAAGGCCTACAAATTCAGTTTGCTTTGTAAAAAATTGATGGAACTATTTTAAGCTGAATTGATGTCGTAATTGGGCGCATATGATTACTTTTGAAGACTACTCCAGTGTTTTTTCGGCGTTCCATTTATCGGCCCAAGTTTGAACTTTGTTAAAAGCCTGCTGGTGTAGCTTTTTTACTACTTTAACGTTGAGTTAGTGCACAGAGTGAATATATATAGATAAAACATGATTACACAACTCAAAGTGGGAGAATGTAAAAAGATAACAATATAATACGAAGCCAATTAGATAGGATTGATGTAGAAACATGACACTGTAAGGGTGAAGCCAATTACATAGGATTGATGTGGAAACATAACACTGTAAGGGTGAAGCCAATTAGATAGGATTGATGTGGAAACATAACACTGTTAGTGTGAAGCCAATGAGATAGGATTGATGTAGTAACATGACACTGTAAGGGTGAAGCCAATTAGATAGGATTGATGTAGAAACATGACACTGTAAGGGTGAAGCCAATTAGATAGGATTGATGTAGAAACATGACACTGTAAGGGTGAAGCCAATTAGATAGGATTGATGTAGTCAATAACATGACACTGTAAAGGTGAAGCCAATTAGATAGGATTGATGTAGAAACATGACACTGTAAGGGTGAAGCCAATTAGATAGGATTGATGTAGAAACATGACACTGTTAGGGTGAAGCCAATTAGATAGGATTGATGTAGAAACATGACACTGTAAGGATGTGAAGCCAATGAGATAGGATTGATGTAGAAACATGACACTGTAGGATTGATGTAGGTGAAGCCAATTAGATAGGATTGATGTAGAAACATGACACTGTAAGGGTGAAGCCAATTAGATAGGATTGATGTAGTAACATGACACTGTAAAGGTGAAGCCAATTAGATAGGATTGATGTAGAAACATGACACTGTAAGGGTGAAGCCAATTAGATAGGATTGATGTAGAAACATGACACTGTAAGGGTGAAGCCAATTAGATAGGATTGATGTAGTAACATGACACTGTAAGGGTGAAGCCAATTAGATAGGATTGATGTAGAAACATGACACTGTAAGGGTGAAGCCAATTAGATAGGATTGATGTAGAAACATGACACTGTAAGGGTGAAGCCAATTAGATAGGATTGATGTAGAAACATGACACTGTAAGGGTGAAGCCAATGAGATAAACAGTAAGACAATGTAAGATGAGGCCGATAATTATAGCACAATGGAGTAGACACTGGGAAGGTATATGACCTAGTCTTGGTTAGTGGCTGGCTTCTCACTTTGGATTTCAATGCTTTCTTGAACTTCATGGTTGATGTTGGCATGTAGAATCATGTCAACAACAACGACCACTCTCAACGAAGCTGCCCTTCATGAAGAATTGTATGGTTTGTTTGTTGTTTAACGCCGCACTCAGCAATATTCCAGCTAAATAAGGCGGTGGTCTGTAAGTAGTCGAGTTTGGACCAGAAGATCTTGAGATCAACAGCATGCGCATCGATCTATGCAATTGGGATACGACATGTGTACGAAATATGACAAGCATGGGTTACTAAAGACTAGTTCTAACCCGGATCTACACGGGCAGAAGCATTACATGGAATCAACCAACCCGGATCTACACGGGAAAAAACATTACATGGAATCAACCAACCCGGATCTACACGGGAAAAAACATTACATGGAATCAATCAACCCAGATCTACACGGGTAGAAGCATAGCATGGAATCCACCAACTCGGATCTACACGGGTAAAAGCATTACATGGAATCAACCAACTCGGATCTACACGGGTAGAAGCATTACATGGAATCAACCAACCCGGATCTACACGGGTAGAAGCATTACATGGAATCAACCAACCCGGATCTACACGGGTAGAAGCATTACATGGAATCAACCGGAAACGGGTAGAAGAATCATGGAATCAACAACCCGGGGTAGAAGCATTACATGGAATCAACCAACCCGGATCTACACGGGTAGAAGCATTACATGGAATCAACCAACCCGGATATACACGGGTAGAAGCATTACATGGAATCAACCAACCCGAATCCACATGGGTAGAAGCATTACATGGAATCAACCAACCCGGATCTACACGGGTAGAAGCATTACATGGAATCAATCAACCCAGATCTACACGAGTAGAAGCATTACATGGAATCAACCAACCCGGATCTACACGGGAAGAAGCATTACATGGAATCAACCAACCCGGATCTACACGAGTAGAAGCATTACATGGAATCAATCAACCCAGATCTACACGAGTAGAAGCATTACATGGAATCAACCAACCCAGATCTACACGAGTAGAAGCGTTACATGGAATCAACCAACCCAGATCTTCACAGGTAGAAGCATTACATGGAATCAACCAACCCGGATCTACACGGTTAGAAGCATTACATGGAATGAACCAACGGTCGACCAGATCAACTTTTTTCATCAACGTTTGATGTCTGTCAGTATCGTAATTGTATTCTGCTAATAACTAATTGTGAAACTCGTGCTGCAATGCACTGTCTGGTTCCAACTTCCAAGATGCCAGCTGTTCGCCCCTGACGTGACAGACGTGTCAGAAGCTGAATTGAGTTTAAAACAATATCAGAATAAATTTGTAAATACATATACAATCGTGATTCGTAAATAATATCACCCCAAAATGGAATACCCCCTACCTTGTATATGTTTTATTAGGTTTTGCAAGTAAACTATAGATGGACAAGTGTTGCCGTATTGGCAAAATGTGCTAGAAATTATGTTCGTATTGATTTCTAAATACAAGTCGAATTGAATTGGTTTAAATTGTTACAAATGCAAATGCATCTTATATTTTATAACATGATTGATATCCTATGCAATATTATATATTATACAATGTTGACCATGTTGGTCGAAAATCACGAGTATATATGTTACAAATGATTAAATCAGTTATGGATATATGGTTCTGTTTGGGAATTGGAAATAAATCATACAGGAATTTTATCTCAGGACAAGTGATTGTGAGATACTTGATACTTACTCAACTATCAAACATAAATTTGTATTGAACCATATCTAACCATATTAGAATCATTTTTGCAAGATGCATGAGTTAGAATAACAATGTTGAGAATCGGTGCACTACATTTATATACGAATGTGTGATAGAGTGCCCTAGCATCAAACACTGTAAAGGCAACTTTGTAGAGGAATTTCATTTTCTCTTTGAATCATGTCTTCATATATTGATCTGTCATTCTATATCGCGAAACAATATTACATAGATACACTTTTATACAATAGTGTTGAAATAATATCAAATATACGCTTTAAACAGAGATGTTTTATGATTGTGGAAAGGGTTTTACCGTCTATATTTAACAACTCAATGTTCTAAAATCAAACATTAACATATTATTGTGTGGGAATGATAGCACCCACGCCGGTAGAATTACATTGTCCATGTTCCATAAACTAAGGTAAACAGTGCGTGGGCAATACGCTAGAACTAAAGAGAAAGAGGCCGAGTATTGATCTAAAATAGCTTGTTGAGTTTCTTTTATAACGGAAACATTTTGTAAACAGTTTAGTGCTGTGTCAATTACTATATATATTCCCTTGCTCTTGCAGGCACCAATACATTAATGTATCACTGAAAGGTAGCGATAATTATCTGTTTGCAATTCTTTGTAGGTATTATTGAATTCTCATTTCGCCATGTGATCAGTACACTAAAAAACAATTCGGCCCTTAATTGTCCCGTCAAAAGAGTGTAGCATTTTATAATGGTCGGTCATAGATTAACTCTAATAGAAGCACCGACTCAAAGCGCAATTCCAACAATGTAGAGGTAAAAGCTATAGTCGACGACAAATCAGAAAGCCCTCTTTATCTGATTTACTCTATGACTCAGCACTACTGCCTTCCAGCCTAACAGGATACCCACATTGCTGCTGAAGTACAAGGTAGAGAATGTATGTGTTGGGGCTGTTCACAGAGCTAGGGCTGCGTCATCTCAAAGGAGTGACATGTGTACTGTGTCTACTGTTGCTACTGAAGGCGAGTAGAGGTCAGGACGACCACCATATATTTCGACTACACAATGACATCATCAGAAACAACAACCCACTGGTCAGACCAGTCAAGAACAGCAGTGACACTATCACGGTCTCTTTAGAACTTCATCTTGTCAGCATGTCTGATTTTGATGACGTTACTCAGACAGTGACAGCTAACGGGTTTTTGTTAGTGTCCTGGAAAGATGAGTTTCTAACCTGGAATGCCAGTGAGTATGGGGGAGTCAGTGAAATAAATCCTGACTATGGCAAGATTTGGAGACCTTACATTGCTGTCCGCAACGTGGTGGATCGCGTTCAGCCTCTGGGACTCGACTTTGGGGTCATGAAAGTGACAGCCCAAGGAATTGTGACTTGGGCACCTGGCGATACCTTCAAGACTTTCTGCCAAATGGATGTTACCAACTTTCCTTTGGATGAACAGGAGTGTGAATATATACTGTTTGCTTGGGGAAGTGATCTGAAAGAAGTTGATTTAAGATCGACTAACAACTCTATAGGATTAGGTTTGTTTAACCCCAACAGCCAGTGGGATATCACCGACACATCTGCTTCAAGAATTGTCTTTGAAAACAGTGGCTCACATCTTGCTTTTGTATACTACAAAATGATCCTGAAGAGAAAACCATCTCTGGCGATACTGACAACTCTCCTGCCTGCCCTGTTGCTGGGGTTAGTCAATGTGGTGGTGTTCCTCATTCCTGTGGAGTCTGGCGAGAAGCTGTCCTTTGCCATCACAGTGTTGCTGTCTTTCACTGTATCCCTGTCCTTCGTCACTGGACTGCTGCCACAGAATGGTGACTCGTTACCTATGTTTACTATCTTTCTTGTTGGCATGTTTATTATGAGCTCTCTCTACGTGTTCCTGACCATTTGGATCGTGCAAGTATTCCATCGTGACGCAGCCATCAGACCTGTTCCGTCGTGGATGGGACGTATGACAAGGTCCTGGGAGAGATGCATCCTTGGCACTCCTGCTGTTGGTACGGAGATCCTGTCACTGGACAAGAAGTCGAATGAATCATGGAATCCACCACCAATGACTTGGAAGCGGGTCAGCAGAATGATGAGCAGGATTTTCTTCTGTTTGTTTTTTATACTGTTCATCATAGTGACAGTGTGTTTTTTTCTGAAGACATCTTATTTTTAATGTAACGGAAACGATGATTAGTATATATATGACACAAGTAACCGATGGACACGGAGACAATACGATACTATGGTACTCATTGATTTCAGTGTGTTGTCAGTATTGTCTGCTAACTAACTTAGACATGTTACTTGCACCCCATTGGTTGATCATCGCAGCTGTACGGCTAAAGTATCGACAAATATACCATACCTGTGTATATTGCTATTATCATTTACTAAAAGAATTGACAGTTCTAGTCTTGTCTCTTACCGCACTGATGTACTTTTAAGTCGACTTGTTCCATTGTCATTGTAAATATTTCTCTGCATGTATTCAGGCCAATGTGTTTTTTGATTTGTGTGTTGATATTTTATAAAATGTCAACGAGGTGTTATATTTCTACTTAAGTATTACAGCATACGTATGGTATGGTTGTGTGCACCCCCAGGACAGAGGTTTCTGCAGCTGATTGTTGATTGTCCTTTACAACCGGGTAGAATAACATAGATATTGTCCGCAGTTCACATGTCAGTTGTAAATATTATATCAGTAGAATAACATGTGTATGGACGTGTCCATTGTTAGGATGTGTTTCTTTTAAAAGTTTCCATTACATAACAAATCTTTTAAGGTGATCTGAAATCGTGGACTGGTGTCCGCAATTGTCACTGTCGCTTCACACACCTGCCTCCACTGAATCTGATTGGGACATCGCTCAAATTGTAATAAAGAAAGTCAAAGTCCATAAAACCTTAGTGTGAATTTTATTCTCTTCTTTTGTCTCACGCAGTCCAGACAGTGATTGGGACTTCTCCCATCCCACAAAGAACTCTCGAACATAAGCCTTCTGCATTTCCCAGAGAACCTGGACACTTACTGATCTGCGCCAAGGTTATTTTTAAAATTAATTTATTTTAATGAAGAAAATTTCTTTGATGCAAATAAGAGAAGGAGAAAACATATTTGTTAAACATACATGTATGTACTAATGTAATTATTTCCAGAGGTTCACCTTATACTTCCAAATTTATGTTTCTGAATAGGGTTTACGAATCATACATGGGATTTGTTTTATGGAATATGCAAATAAAATATAACAAAATCAGCTATATGCATAATTAAATATACTTTTCAACTGAACATTCGTGTAACCTTGCTGTCATACCCCTGCTAGAATTTTAAAATGAATGCGCTGAAAAAAATGAAGGACCCCAGAAACGTCAGTCTCAAACATCCCCAAAGATGTTAAGTATAAGCCCTGTGTTAAAGATTAAAGCTGATAAGTATATATTAATATTATATATTGTTTTGAAACTCGCAGCGATTGTATAATTATATTATCTTAAATTGTCGGAAAGGCGGACGTAAAATCTCCAAAACCAGCCCGTAAGATGGTCAAGAAACACTCAGCACAAGCAAACTGAGGCGCAATCAGGGTTGGGCAACAGACAGAACAATATAACCAGTCTTCCTATTTTTTGGGTACATGCCAGCGAAGCAGTTTGCCTGTGGTTGCTCTCATGAGAGCCGTTACGTGCGTGTATTTGAATCTCCTACCATTCATGGCATTATTCTTATTTAAAACTTCACATTAGGCAATGCGAGTCTGTTAGCTATGTTCTTTGTACTGTCCATATGACGATTTATATATTTTCACGACTTTTAAACATGTTTCCATAAACGATTTAGTACACGGGATTAGCACCGCAACCATTACGCGCGTTCTGATTGATTTGTGGCATTTCCGCACATAACAAGCATCGATAAGGGGACGCGTCTTCTTGGAGGTTACGGAAAGGGGCGAGTGGTGATGAACGGTTCGGTATAGTTTGTAAGCTTTTCCTGAATATTGGCAATCACACTATCAAAAGGGAAAATTCAATAACATAAAAAAAACTCCTTGACTTTATCAAACAGGACAAGATCAGGTTTGTTGTCAGGATAGGCTGCATGCAGGCCCATTGTTTGATAGTGTGGCATGGTCACGCTGGATGACCTGGTTGAAATTGGGGAATGGTCATGCCTCATCACTTGGTTGATGGTGTGGCATTGTCATGCTTTGATGACCTTGTTGGATAGTGTGGCGTGGTCATGGTTTATGATTTGGCAGATAGTGTGGCATGGACATGCTTGATACCTGGTTGAATGTGTGGTATATGCCCTGTAACGTGGAGTTACGAGTGCTTCCTTCACTCGTGTCCCGCGCACAATGAGTCCCAAAAACACGGACGATACGACAAACGTACGGAAGCATTCAGTAACGCAACCCCGAATTCACACACTCAAGTGTGTTACCCATCATATGATAGAACGTTAGAACTACGTGGAGGAGCCACGTACTGTATGTTTATCCAAATAATCCGCGCATAACAAACACGCATGCCATCCTTATATTGAATATTCAAGAGTTTTTGCACCATTTGCGACGTGCACACAACTTGACATGTAACACGTGGACTTCAGGCATGCAGGTTCTGACTGCGTAGCTGAATCGCCTGCCCAGTTACTCAAACATGTGTACCTCTGTGAAGCTCATATGCCATTTGATGGGCACATTGACCAGGGTTAAATAACACAGTCTTCCTGATGAAACGGCCGTCTCGTACGCCAGCTGTCCACCTCGGTCGACCAGATCTGTCATCAACGTTTTATGTCTGTCAACATCATGATCGTAATCTGCTAATACCTAATTGTCAAACTTTAAGAACTCGTGCTGCAATGCATTGTCTTGTTCCAACTTCCAAGATACCAGTCGCTCGCCCCTGACGTGACAGACACAACTTGTCAAAAACATTTAATTCTGTTAAAAACAGTATAAAACAAATTTCAGTCTAGTTTGTATCACTGAAATGTGCAACAGCACACTGACACGTTTCAATGTCAATTTCGAATTTCACCCCGACCATGTGTTAGACGTAAACTACAGATGAACAAATGCTGCAATATTGACAAATATGTGGAACAAAGTATACTCATGGAAACGAATAAGGGAACACATGAAAGTACAAGTGTTCCTATATTCTTTTCCAGGCTTCTTCCCATGGAATTTATTACACTGTGAGTGAAATTCTGGAAATAAATAAAGGAACACTTGTACTTTCATGTGTTCCCTTGTTAGTTTCTATGAGTGTGTATCAATATTGATTTCTAAACATGAGTCGAATATTTTTGGTTTACGTTGTTGTAAATGCAGATGCACCTATAACATGATATATATCCTAAGTAATATTATGTAATGTCATACAATTTTGGCCATGTTGGTTGTAAAACATTGGTATATATGTTAGAAATGATTTATTCAGTTATGGATATGGTTTTGTATGGGAATTGGGAATACATTTTGAAAGAATTTTATCTGAGGACAAGGGATCGTGAGAAATGCATAAACGTCCACCTCCAGATACTTACTCAACTATTAAACGTCTATGTTTAGTATTGAACCATGTTTAACCATATCATAATGTAAGATGCAGAGTTAGTTAGATTTACCATGTTGAGAACCATGTTGGTTATATAAGAACATGTAATAGAGCGCGCAAGCATCAAAGACTAAAGAAATTTTGTAGAAGAATTTCATTTTCCCTTTGAATGTCCTATTTACAATGATCTGCCATTGTACAATTATATATTACATATAGTATGACCAGAAATTATTGAGAATTTTAGGAATATGTTTAATTGGATTTCTAGTATAAACAACCTTGACCAGCTATCAAGTGCTTGGTTTCATTCAAGAGAGACAACTCCGTTAATCCTTTTTCATTAGTTTGTGAAGAGTTATCCCCCTTTGTTTACTTGCTAGCAGACGACATTATCAGTGATCCTCAGTATGGATGATTTAGAGAAGAGGAAGTTTGATTTAAGAGTATTATAACAAGGACATCAGATCAGCTAAAGTGATTTCAAGTAGAACAGGCATCCCTTTGTCCACTGTTTATCGTGTTTTGAAAGATATTGCAAATGGATATGGCATTGAGCACCAGGGAGGCGCAGGTAAGCCCAGAAAATTGACTGTCGGTGGCAGGAGGCGGCTTGGTATTTTTGTTTCTAAAAACAAACGAAGGAGTATAGAAAACTTAAGGCTGAATATGATTGATAGAGGAACTTTGGCTGTCTGTAAGGAGACAATTAGAACTGAGCTGCATGCAATGGGTTGGCAGAAAAGTCGAAGAATTCCATCACCGATCATGAAACCTGAACAAAAGGAGCGAAGGTTGAACTGGTGCTTACAGCATAGACATTTTAACTGGGACAATGTGATTTTCTCAGATGAAAGTTCTGTGTGGCTGTTTCTTAATACTCTGAAATTCTGGACCAAACAAACTGAAAACCTTTGTATCAGCGCCCAAAGTACAATCCGAAATTTAACGTGTAGGGTGGCATATCTGTGTTAGGGGCAACGCCCCTCTGTGTATTTGAAGGGAATATGAACAGTGAGCGGTACACAGATATTCTGGAGGGACATTTACTTCCATCTGCTCACGTGTTCTATGGAAAGTTTTGGATTTTCCAGCAGGACAACGACCCAAAACATCGTTCAAAGCATTCATGGGCCGGGTTTCGGACCCAAAATATGACATTACTAGATTGGCCAAGCTATAGCCCCGACCTAAATCCAATAGAAAATGTTTGGGGATTTATGAAGGAAAGTGTCAATAAGAAAAATCTGACAAATATTGCTGAAATGAAAGAATATGTGGTCCGATATTGGGACAGCATGGACCACGACTTTCTAACTTCTTTGATCAGCAGTATGCCCCGCCGCATTGAAGCCTGCATTGCTGCCCATGGTGACTTGACAAAATACTAACTGTTCACCTGTGTTTGAATCTGGAGTTATGTTCTGCTAATATTCACATTTAATGCGTGAGTAATGAGTGAATTGTTTTTTAAAAAAACTATACAATCTTTAATTTCTCAATAATTTCTGGTTGTACTGTAAATACGCTTTTGAACAATAGTCTTGGTATTATATATAAATGCTCTTTGAACAGATATAATTCTTGATTATGGAAAGGGTTTTACTGTCTATATTTTAATTAAGTGTAAGGTTATCTGATCAGATAACTCATTTCAATCTAATTGTTGAATGTAGGCGGGACAGCTCACACACCGGTGGAATTACATTGTTCATGTTCAATAAATAACGCAAACAGTGTGGGGGCAATGCACTAGAACTATAGAGAAAGAGGCAGATTATTGATCTAAAAGTGCTTGTTTCAATTAATGAGTTTTTATTGTAACGGAAACATTTTGTGAACAGTTTCGGGTTGTGTCAATTACTATATATTCCCTTGCTCTTGCAGGCATCCATACATTAGTGTATCACTGAAATGTAGCGGTAATTCTCTGTTTGCAATTCTTTGTAGATGTTAATATGATCTGTACACTAAAAACAATTCAGCCCCAAATTGTGCCGTCAGCTTGAGTCTCTGCTTGGGTAGGCAACTCCATCACACAGTATTTTATGATTGTTGGTGATAGATTAACTCTAATAGAAGCACTGACTCAAAGCCCAATTCCAACAATGTGCACGTAAAAGCTATAGTCGACGACAAATCAGAAAGCCTTCTTTATTTGATTTACTCTATGACTCGGCACTACTACCTTACAGCCTAACGGGATACACACATTGCTGCTGAAGTACAAGGTAGAGGATGTACGTGTTGGGGCTGTTCACAGAGCTAGGGCTGCGTCATCTCAAAGGAGTGACATGTGGACTGTGTCTGCTGTTGTTCCTGAAGGCGAGCAGAGGTCAGGATGACCACCATGTACTTCGACTACACAGTGACCTCATCAAAAACATCAACCCAAAGGCTAGACCAGTCAAGAACAGCAGTGACACAATCACGGTCTCTTTAGAATTTCACCTTCTCAGCATGTCTAATTTTGATGAAGTTACTCAGACAGTGACAGCTAACGGGTTTTTCTTAGTTTCCTGGAAAGATGAGTTTCTAACCTGGAACACCAGTGAGTATGGAGGAATCAGTGAAATAAGTCCTGACTATGGGAAGGTTTGGAGACCTTACATCACTGTTCGCAACGTGGTGGATCGTATTCAGCCTCTGGGACTCGACTTTGGGGTCATGAAAGTGACATCCCAAGGAATTGTGACTTGGGCACCTGGCGATACCTTCAAGACTTTCTGCCAAATGGATGTTACCAACTTTCCTTTGGATGAACAGGAGTGTGAATATATTACGTTTGAGTGGGGAAGTGATTTGAAAGAAGTTGATTTAAGATCGACTAACAACTCTATTGGATTAGGTTTGTTCAACTCTAACAGCCAATGGGATATTACCAACACATCTGCTTCAAGAGCTGTCTTTGAAAACGGTGGCAGATATTTTCCTTTTGTAACATACCAAATGATCTTAAAGAGAAAGCCATCTCTGGCGATTCTGACAACTCTCCTGCCTGTCCTGGTGCTGGGATTAGTGAATGTGGTGGTGTTCCTCATTCCTGTGGAGTCTGGCGAGAAGTTGTCCTTTGCCATCACAGTGTTGCTGTCTTTCACTGTATCCCTGTCCTTCGTCACTGGACTGCTACCACAGAATGGTGACTCGTTACCTATGTTTACTATCTTTCTTGTTGGTCTGTTTATTATGAGCTCTCTCTATGTGTTCCTGACCATCTGGATCGTGCAAGTGTTCCATCGTGACGCAGCCATCAGACCTGTTCCGTCGTGGATGGGACGTATGACAAGGTCCTGGGAGAAATGTATCTTTGGCACTCCTGCTGTTGGTACGGAGATCCTGTCACTGGAAAAGAAGTCGAATGAATCATTGAATCCACCACCAATGACCTGGAAGCGAGTCAGCAGAATGATGAGCAGGATTTTCTTCTGTTTGTTTTTCATGCTGTTCATCATAACAACAGTGTGTGTGTTTCTGAAGATATCATATTTCTGATATTATGAAAACCATGCTTAGTATATATACTCATGCCGATAATGGTTGTCACCCCCTTCATTTTTTTAATTGGAGAGGGGTGTGGGGTGTGAGGTGTGTGTGGGGTTGGGGTTGGGGTGGGGACAACCATTATTGGCATGGGTATATATAAACTATGTGACGTAAGTAACCGATGGACACGGAGACAATACGATACTATGGTACTCATTGATTTCAGTGTGTTGTCAGTATTGTCTGCTAACTAACTTAGACATGTTACTTGCACCCCATTGGTTGATCATCGCAGCTGTACGGCTAAAGTATCGACAAATATACCATACCTGTGTATATTGCTATTATCATTTACTAAAAGAATTGACAGTTCTAGTCTTGTCTCTTACCGCACTGATGTACTTTTAAGTCGACTTGTTCCATTGTCATTGTAAATATTTCTCTGCACGTATTCAGACCAATGTGTTTTTTGATTTGTGTGTTGATATTTAATAAAATGTCAGCGGGGTGTTATATTTCTACTGAAGTATTACAGTACAGGTATGGCACTGGTTGTGTGCATCCCTAGGACAAACGTTACTGATTGTTGATTGTCCTTTACATTCGGGTAGAATAACATAGTTATTGTCCGCAGTTTACGTGTCTTTTGTTAATATTATATCTCGAGTCAGTAGAATAACATATGTATGTACGTATCCATGGTTAGGATGTGCTTTTAAAAAAAATGTATCCATTACATAGCTAATCTTTTAAGGTGATCTGACATAGTGCTCTCGTGTCCGCAATTGTCACTGTCGCCACACACACTTGCCTCCACTGAATCTGATTAGGACATCGCTCCAACTGTAACAAGGAAAATCAAAGTCCATAAAACCTTGTAATTAATGTGAATTGTTTTCTCATCTTGTTTCTCACACAGCCCAGAATAGTGAATAGGACTTCTCCCATCCCACTTAGAACTTTCCAGAGAATTTGGAGACGCCGAAACAACAGCCTTCTGCATTACCCGGAGTGTCCGAAGGGCTGGGCTCCCTGTGGAGAACCTGGACACACTCCTGTTCTGCGCCAAGAGATCAGGAGGAACCAAATCAAGGGCACCGAGAACAATCGGGAGCCGGACGACAGTGTACGTGGGATGCAAGCAGGATATTTCAAACCCGAGTGCGGCATATTTAACATGATTTTCCTAAATCTTGCCAACCACATTTTCTAAAGGGAATATTCAATAACATACATAAATTCCTTGGCTTTCTCAAACAGGACAAGATCAGGTTTGTTCCGAGGATTGGCTGCATGTGGACCTATTCCAAATAACGTTTAAAGTATGATTTTCCATGACGTCCTTGACATGTTCAGGGTCGTACCATGGATGGACCTCTAAGTCAAAGCCACAGGTATTGCCAAGACGGTAGAAGAAGCAGCGAGCCATGCCATCATGTCTTTTAAGATATGCTGTTAGTGCCAAGGAAGGGCATCCACTGACAAGGTGTTGGACAATCTCTGCAAGTTCATAACACAGTCGACATTTCATCTTAATAATGACATTTTGGCGATTGCGATTGGGGAATGATTAGTCCTGAAAAGCAAAAATTGCAAGTTTTTTTATTTCCTCTTTGACACCATCTTAGTCAATTTTAGTGATGTGTTATTCAGACAAATCGTGAATACCCAATGTGTCCTACAGGTGATATCTTTGTCTTTCCACCTGAATCGGTATTTTGACTACTTCAGTTTGATCAAAGATATGGAATGTTAGCAAGACGTTAAACCACAGTTTCAAGTCTGTAGATGACCTGTTTGTTGTGGACAAATTAATATCCTTACCTATCCACCAGAACTGAAAGAATGTAACCTGAGAAACCACAGTGAATGTCCTCTCAGAAATTCAAAACGACTCTCCAGACTTTACTTTCGGACGATGTGACATTGACCTCAGATTATGCTACAGTTCACTTGATGTCATGCATTAAGGTTTTGGTTGATAGTGTGGTATTGTCATTCCATGATTTTATTGATGGCTTGGAATACTTGATAGTGATGAGGATTGTTTGATGACTTGGTTGGATCGTCATGGTCATGGTTTGATCGTGTGGATTGCATGTTTGATGTCATGCTTGGTTGATAGTTGGTTGATAGTGTGGTATTGCCATGCGTGATGTAGTATTGTTTGATGAGTGTGGTATTGTTTGATGACCTTGGTTGGTGGTTGATCGTGTGGTATTGTCATGTTTGATGACTTGGTTGATAGTGTGGTATTGTGCGTTGATGATAGCTTGGTTGATAGTGTGGCTTGGTTGATAGTGGTTGTATTGTCATGTTTGATGGCTTGGTTGATAGTGTGGTATTGTCATGCTTGATGGCTTGGTTGATAGTGTGGCATTGTCATGCTTGATGGCTTGGTTGATAGTGTGGTATTGTCATGTTTGATAGCTTGGTTGATAGTGTGGTATTGTCATGCTTGATGGCTTGGTTGATAGTGTGGTATTGTCATGCTTGATGGCTTGGTTGATAGTGTGGCATTGTCATGCTTGATGGCTTGGTTGATAGTGTGGTATTGTTTGATGACTTGGTTGATAGTGTGGTATTGTCATGTTTGATGACTTGGTTGATAGTGTGGTATTGCCATGCTTGATAGCTTGGTTGGTAGTGTGGTATTGTCATGTTTGATGGCTTGGTTGATAGTGTGGTATTGTCATGCTAGCTAGCTTGGTTGATAGTATCTCGTGGCACCTTGATGCCGTGGCCGCTGTCGCATGGCAGTATTGCTTGGAGCAGTATTAGCTGCCATTATTGATTTACGCTAGCATATGCATATATCTTTACTGTTTTGTTTTTCTGCACGATGGAGTCTGTTAAAGGTCACATGCAACGTAAAATACAACTTTGCAGATTCTGATACCTTTCGGTATGGACTTACCGAAACAAAGCGTCAAAAATGCAAATTCAACTTATAAAGTTGAAAAATAACGCGATGAAAAAAACCGCGCGAAATCGTAGTTCAAACAATTGACTAATTTTCCCCCAGCGCTTGGGGGAATTCAAGTGGTTTCAACAGCTGGGCTGCGCTCATAGCACATGCGCAGTGAAATAGGTTCGCGCAGGTTGGAAGCGGGTTGTCCTGTGAATACTGGGTGAAGGCTTTGATGTGAGCTATTTTTCTAATATTTTGTTGATATTTCACAGGCGCGAGCTTTTTATATGTAGTAGATTAACTGTTTATATAATTTCATTTGTCTATTTCACCACACGTTCTTCTTACCGAGTCACTTTCTCAGTTCGATACTTAGAAGCAATGTCATTATTTAGCGTTGAGAGAATTTCTAACTGTGATATAGATATGTCGTCACAGACAAAATTCAGTGTCTCTTTTATTGCTACCTATGTGTCTGCCTGCCTGTCTGCTAATGACAATATTCAATACACAACTTCGATCACTGACCACATGCAATTTGAACTTAAGACCTATCAGGCTATACACCATAAGCAAAACGCATTGATTTATGGCCCGAGTTCGGTCTCTGTCACATTATGTAATTACACAGACAGGCAGGTGTGATATTAGTACACATGACATGTTATGATGTCTGTTGATTGAAAAATGTTACACACAAAAAATTAGCATGTATTTACAAAACCCAACATCTCTATATATACACACACAATGAGCCTTGAGGGCATCTGCAAATGAACCAGCCGTTACACTTGAGTGCACTCCCACCCGCTCTGACTGGGTTCGGTATCCCGGCTGCTTCGTTTCTTGGGAAGTAAACCCAAGTACGAAATATTGCACTTTTGATTTGCGATTGTACGCTTATAATTTTGTTTATATGTTTTTTCATAACCAGCAAATATATATTATATGTCATGAATAAGTGATACTTGTGTTTTAATTAGGTTTGATTTTTTGGTTGCATGTGACCTTTAATATACAAACAATGTTCCTGAAGTGCCAGGTCTGATTCTTGCACATGCCCCCTAACGTGGAGTTACGAGTGCTTCATTCACTCATGTCCCGCGCACAACCAGTCCTAAACACACGGGCTGTGGGAGACGATATGACAGACGTAAGGGGTGAGTGAGTGAGTTTAGTTTTACGCCACACTCAGTAATATTCCAGCTATATAGCGGCGGTCTGTACATAATCTGATCTGGACCAGACAATCCAGTGATCAAGAGCATGAACATCGATCTGCGCTATTGGGAACCGATGACATGTGTCAACCAAGTCAGCGAGCCTGACCACCCAATCCCCTTTGTCGCCTCTTACGACAAAGCATGGGTTACTGAAGATCAATTCTAACCCGGATCTTCACAGGTCGACAGACGTAAGGAAGCATTCAGTAATGAAACCTCGACTGCAATATTTACCCACCATATGATAGAACGTTAGAACTACGTGGAAGAGCCACGTACTGTATGTTCATGCAAACAATTCGCGCATAACAAATACGCATGCCATTCTTATATTGCATTGAGAGAGAGGTTCAGAAACCTTTGTTGGTTATGGTCAAATGTAGCAATATTCAACACGTATTTCGACAAGGGTGCTGTTGGTAGTACTGGCTGTGTGAACTACGTAATGGAGACAGAGGGGCACAAACTACTGGGGAACTCAAAATTTGGTTCCTCAAAAGTTCTTGATTAGTTCTTGAAATTAGGGCATACTGTTCGTTCATGGAAATGCTTTCAAGCTGGTACTCTGTATGTAGCGAGACATGCCAGGGCTCCAGATAAAGGCCGTATCGGCGTATGTACGGATAAACAATAAACACGAAGGAAATAATTTAGAAAACGTAGCAGATACGCACCACAGCAATGGTGTACGGTCTTAGAATCATTTACAGACGTATTATCTTAAAAAATATTGCTCTATTGTTTATTGACCTGTTTACATAAGAGTAGCAAAGCTGTGGTGCATATATGAAACAAAACACAAGATTACTGATACTCCATTAAATTAAATTCAGTACTCTAAATGTACTCTTAAGTTTTTCCAATACTCCTATATTGAAAAAATAAGGAGTACGTACTCCTGATGAAAAATTATCTTGAGCCCTGCATGCAATCTTGCAGTATTTCGGTATTGTCCGATACGTGATGTATTGATTATGGTGTGCTTAAAGGACATTGACACACATTTAGTAAGTCCTCTGGTGGCCTCAAGATACAGCACGTGTACGATAGTTACTCAATATCTTGTATGTATGCTGTTATCAAATGAGGAGATAAAGTGATTCTGGTTTCATATGGGCGGTCTATCAGCTTGTGGTATAAGACCGGTAAATATTATTTAAAACCGAACGCGCTAAGCTGAAGAAGCGGGACACTTTCACACGACAGAGCACGGAGGGGTGATAGGACGTGTTACAGGAATCAGTGTGGAATCGGCACAAGTTGTGGCGTGAAAAGAGCAAACTATTAATGTGGATACAGAAACATAATTTTTCTGTTTCTATGAGTGGAAGCAATGGTGTTAGTTACATATGATGCCTAAACCATTTTGTACCCTTAAATGGAATCGAAAAAAACGCGCCCCCATATGACTGATTACCTCTCCCGTGACAACGTTGGTTGACTGTCAACCCGCTTAATTGAGCTTGCTGACATCAACTGTTGGAAAACTGCACGGAAAACTATCGGAATCCTAACTCATAGAGGATTTACGAAGAAGGACCGAACATGTAAATCCTGGCTCGGAGCAGAATGTTATAAAGGTCGTAAGAAATTTCATAAAGCAAAACGACGTCTACGAAAACACTACTCCATCTATAACAAACGCGTATTTAGGTTTGAATCTAAAAATTATAAAAAGTGTATGGATAGACATATAAAGCGGTATAAAGATGAGATCGGTAAAATGTTTAGGGAGTCTCATAAGCACTCTCCTAAACAATTCTGGAAAACATTAAATGGTGATACCACTGATAACAATGATAACATAGATATTGATGTAGTTTACGACTTTTTCAAATCACTTAATGAATCGGAATCGGAGGAAACAGAACTCGACGCAAGCGATTGTAATAGTCAAATAAATTGTGAAATATTAAATAGCAATATTACAAAGGAAGAAACAAGGGTGACCATAAAACAATTGAAACGATGCAAGGCATCCGGAATAGACTTTATCGAAAACGAATACTTAATTGATGGTTGCGATTTATTAACCCCCCTTGTTTTTGAACTTTTTTTATTTTGTATTTGAAAAAAAGCACTCTTCCCGATTCATGGCTTACTGGAATAATTAAACCAATTTACAAAAAGAAAGGAGATATTTCGGATCTAAATTCGTATAGACCTATCACTATTCTAAGTTGTTTTGGGAAACTATTTACTAAAATATTGAACAACCGCTTATCAAACCTTCTAGATGAAAACAATATATTGACACCAGCACAAGCTGGATTTAGAAAATCATTCTCGACTGCTAACAACTTGTTTGTTATCTATAGCCTTATGCATATACTGAAAAGTAAAAAACAAAAAATATATTGTGCTTTCAAAGATTTCACCAAGGCGTTTGACACAGTTTGGAGAGTAGGTTTATGGAAGAAAATGCAAACTATTGGTATTGAAGGGAGGTTTCTGAAACTTGTAAAATCAATGTACAATGGTATCAAATCTTTCGTGCAATGTAGTAACAATGTATCGGCCTACTTCTCGTGCAATAATGGCGTGAGACAGGGGGAAAACCTGTCTCCTTTACTATTTTCAATCTTTGTTAATAGTATTGAATCACACCTCCTTGCTTCTGACTGTAATGATGTTAGACTAGACTATGTTGAAGATAAAGATATTCAACACTTCATACAACTATTAATTTTACTGTATGCAGATGATGCCGTCCTGTTCGATAAATCACCCAAGGGATTACAGACGGCATTAGATTCCTTTAAAATATATTGTGATACATGGAAATTAACTGTCAACATAAGTAAAACCAAAATTCTTATCTTTGGGAGTGGACCAGCAAATACTTGAAATTGAACTTTTATTTTATGACAATAGACTTGATATCGCAGACAAATACAATTACCTAGGCATCACGTTTCATAGAAATAGAAGACATGTCAGAAGTATTAAGGATCTCGGTGACAGTGCCAGTAAAGCCATGTTCAGTCTGTTAAAATAAGCACGAAATATCGACATGCCGTTGGACTGTTTGTTGTTTGCTTTTGACTCAATGATAATAGCTATCCTGATTTATGGCTCAGACATTTGGGGTATTGAAAATGTGGAATATATGGAAAAAGTCCAACTAAACTTTCTAAGACTTATAACAGGACTAAGGAATTCTACTCCTCGATTTATGCTTTATGGGGAGCTCGGTAGATTCCCAATCACGATAAAGATCTATAAACGCCGCATTACCTTTTGGCATAAACTAACCAATCAAAATGGAGTCAAACAACTTTCAAAACTTATTTATAATTACTTGATAGTGGGAAATGAAAGTGAAAAAACTACTACAAAACTCATGGCTTGTAAAAGTGAAGGATATTTTAGATGGTACCGGATTGTCGTATGTATTTAAAAACCCGTCCTCGTGTACAACTGAGTGGGTGTCTTCACAGGTAGAACACATACTTAAAGACCTATTTATTCAAAAGTGGAGAAATGATGTTGTCTCAAGCTCAAAAGGATTTTATTACCAATACCTTAAACAGTACCCACTATTTGACACATACCTAACCTTCCCAAAGCGAATGTCAATTCCATTACTAAGATATATCACATCTAATCACAACCTACCAATAAAAACTGGCCGCTGGGAGAACATACCGCGCTGTGATAGAACCTGTAAACTCTGTCAATCTACATCTATTGCTGATGAATTCCATTATATTTTTGAATGTCCAAATCTTTGCGACGCTAGGAAAATGTATTTACCATCCCTCCAAACAAAATACCCAAATATGCAAAATTTTGTTAAATTATTCTCAACTAATGACACCAAAGAAATTATCAACTTGTCAAATTTTGTCTCAAAGGTATCAGCCCTTATAAGACACATAATCTCTGACTAGTTACAATCATCTTGTATTATGATTTTGCATTTATATATATTATATATTATTACTTATCTTTCCATTTATTTGTGCATATGATACATCTGTATTCGCTCTTGTACCACCAATCTTGGTTATCTGAGAATAAATGATTGATTGACTGATTGACCAATACCTTAAACAGTACCCACTATTTGACACATACCTAACCTTCCCAAAGCGAATGTCAATTCCATTACTAAGATATATCACATCTAATCACAACCTACCAATAAAAACTGGCCGCTGGGAGAACATACCGCGCTGTGATAGAACCTGTAAACTCTGTCAATCTACATCTATTGCTGATGAATTCCATTATATTTTTGAATGTCCAAATCTTTGCGACGCTAGGAAAATGTATTTACCATCCCTCCAAACAAAATACCCAAATATGCAAAATTTTGTTAAATTATTCTCAACTAATGACACCAAAGAAATTATCAACTTGTCAAATTTTGTCTCAAAGGTATCAGCCCTTATAAGACACATAATCTCTGACTAGTTACAATCATCTTGTATTATGATTTTGCATTTATATATATTATATATTATTACTTATCTTTCCATTTATTTGTGCATATGATACATCTGTATTCGCTCTTGTACCACCAATCTTGGTTATCTGAGAATAAATGATTGATTGACTGATTGGGAAGGTAGTATTGATCAGCATATCGCTGTTTCCAGTTTGGAATAGAGGAGACATTTTTATCTTGGCTCACATTTACAGTAGATGTGGAGAGGTTTACTGCTGAAGCCGCAGTGGGAGCCATAGGCAACGGGTCAGCTGCAGGGTTTGTGTTTTCACTTTTCTTGTTGTACATATATATATGCTCTCTGCCTCATACCATTCGTTCACCTGATGAAGAAGTTAGGATATATTCCGAAACGTTGTGTTCCACATAATGAAGAAGCTGACTTCCATAAAAACTCTTCTCCTTAGACCACATATCCGTAACATTAAGTCTCTTGATACTGTCTGAACTATTTTAAATAGTTGTGGCTTGTGCGTTTAGAATGATCAATTGTCTGTTTGAGTGAAAACTGTTGTAATGGTAGAAGTCAGGTCGGGGAAGATGGATGGAGACACTTATAAACTCTACTCTAAATCTACCTTCTATAGAAAATTAAACACGAATCTTATTTACGTTTCATTTGCCAAAAAGAACAAAATACCCCATTTTTGAATTCAGAATAGCTTGTCACAATATCGCCATGTCAACAGACCGCTGAACTACTGAAAGATGAACTCCATTATTTATGAACGTGTTAGTTTATATCGTTTCCTTTCCGTGGTCCTCGTTTCATTCCTTGAAAATTAACTGCTCTATATACATTCTTTCAAGAAATTAACACAGTGAAACCCGGATAAGTAAAACTCCAAGGGACCATGGCAAAAGTTGCTACTTATCCGTATTGCCACTTATCCACCCAAGCAAGTTGTATCACATTTCCAAGTAAAGTTAATAGACATCGTATCCCCATTGTATCAAGGCAACCTGACCCGTTCGGAATTGCCACTTATTCGATTTTACTTATCCAACATGAAATAATGACAAATAACGAAGGCTGTAGCCGGGACCGGGGGAAAAGGTGTACTTATCTGGGGTTGCCAATTATTAGTAGTTTACTTATCGGGGTTTCACTGTATGTTCTTAACAGGTTAGAGAATAGAAACACACTGTTAAGCTTTATAAAACACTTTTTACATATCCCTCTATCTGAGTCACAATGATTGTTAAGAGAACCTGCAGTAGTCTTGTACAGCCCAGGTATTTGAAAGAGAATAAACGATTTGAAATTTGAACCGTTAAGCGGTATCTCCTCGGAGTCGCCGCTCGAGCGTGTTGTGTCCGATATAATTGCCTGTATTGACTGACTACGTTCCATGCCCCAGTTCACACCCGAACCTAGTTAACCGACAAAAGCCGAGACGTTTGATTCCGACAAATCCACCCGCGTGTCCGGGTTATACCGCGGTGTACAAGGCAACGGGAAAACAACATGGCCGCGCCCTAGGACACTCTATTATTGACTACATACAAACATGTATTTCGACATAGCACGTCTTGGATTACATATTCTCTAGCACAACTTCGCAGAAAAAAGGTTTGTAGTCGATAGTTTTTGTAAGATCACTGATTGTCATTATTTATCGTGCTAATCAACATGACGTACGTGTGACTGTAAATAGACATCGATTTAAGACAAGTATCGATCTTGAGTCAAACAATATGAAAATATGTCCTGCTGTAATAAAGCATGTATATAACGGCTGTAGGGCACCTGTTGAAACAACCGTCCATTGCTTGTGTGTTTTGTGGATTGGCCAATTATGTACTTTACAACATTTTAGTGATAATTCCCACATCATATATGCTCATTGTGTCTCTGTACATTACAATTACTTAACATTCATGTAATATCAAACTTTGTTGGATATTCTTGGTCCCAGTGTTGCCTTGTATTCCCGTCAGTAGCAGTAAGCCCGGACCGGTCGTGTGAAGCAGAGCGGTGTGTTCTTATCGATCGATCAAACTGTGTGAAGTGAGTAGGTCTGTTATAAACACTGTAGAAACTTTCGGATCTACAGATATCTCGGTGGGAATAAGTGTTGTGTTAGGACGGCTTTGTTTTCTGTTTACACTGTATAAAGCAGGCCAGGTGATACCGTCCACACCGCGCCCAGGTAACATGGTACAAGTATTGGGTGGATGCAAGGGAATACTGAGGCCGGGGAACTGTAGTAGTGAGCATGATAAAGGGCATATATGCTTGAATCGTAATGAATGAGTATTGTTTTGCGCCGCATATAGCAATATTCTAGCAATATCAGGGCGGGGACACCAGGGCTGAGTTTCCTACGCTGTACACATGTTAAGTATGGTATGTACACGTGATAATACCTGGTTGTTCGGCGGGGCGAGTCACTGCACCACGAGGCTACCCCTCATCCTTCACCAAGTACTCACATACTCTTCTGTGCTCCCGACAGCTGTGTTGGGGACTTGACTGGTCTTGTAATATATACAGGCTGTATGTTGGGTACCCGTCGGGTAGAGGGACATGCATGTGTTTTATTCTCTCGCTTGTCGATACTGTTAATGTTAAACGATCCTGTCTGAAAGATTGACTTGGCCCTTGGCGGATTTTGGTTTATCAGAGAGTCCTGTACATGGATAATATCATGAATCCAAGATATATGTTTTCTCGTCTCTGAAGTGAGCCCGTTGTATTACATCGTCTTAAACGCTTTCGGACAATGTTAAAGTTTGTTTGGGCACTTTGTATTCTGTATATCTAAGCAACTTTAGATATCATTACATGTTATTTTGATAATGTGGAGGGTCCCCTAGTCAGCAGCCATCCCGTAGTGACGATCCTGAATATCATGGACGCGTCTGTCATTATATAGTGATGTCTATTAGAACTACAACAGAACTGTAGCAGTATAATAATAAGCAGAACTCGTTGTACGATTCTGAATCTTTTAATCGCGTGTATGAACCACTATCAAATAGTGTTGATACCAGCTGTTCATGAAAAGGTGAGAAGGTTAGAAGGTCCGTGTTCGAACTGATCTTACATAAACCATGCTTGTAGTAAGATGTGACTACTAGTCGGGTGGTCAGATGCACGTCATATGCATCTTGTCTGGCCCCAAGTCGTCTATTGACGGCCCGCTTGACCTTGAGTATTGCTGAGTGCGGCAACACACGCCGTCAAACGGACATTAGTATGTATATAAGTCGTGGTCGATTGTCCGAAACTGTAAACCTGTTCCAGAACCAATCATACAGAGATAAGATCTGCTCATACAATACGCCTCATACAGTCATACAACTACGATTCAAAATGGGGTTTAAGCTGAAATACATAGCGTGCAAACAAGTGTCTTGGTCAGTTCCTATCACAGACGGTGCCAAATATACTGGACTAGCATGATTGATCTGTCTGACGTGGTGGAATTTAAGCAATACTGTTCTAAACAATGTGTTTGTATTCAGAAGTGCTGTCTGTACATGACTAATCTGTGTGAGATCGTGTTTATAGGAGAAGTGCTGTCTGTACATGACTAATCTGTGTGAGAGCGTGTTTATAGGAGAAGTGCTGTCTGTACATGACTAATCTGTGTGAGAGCGTGTTTATAGCAGCAGTGCTGTCTGTACATGACTAATCTGTGTGAGATCGTGTTTATAGCAGCAGTGCTGTCTGTACATGACTAATCTGTGTGAGAGCGTGTTTATAGGAGAAGTGCTGTCTGTACATGACTAATCTGTGTGAGAGCGTGTTTATAGGAGAAGTGCTGTCTGTACATGACTAATCTGTGTGAGAGCGTGTTTATAGGAGAAGTGCAGTCTGTACATGACTAATCTGTGTGAGAGCGTGTTTATAGCAGCAGTGCTGTCTGTACATGACTAATCTGTGTGAGATTGTGTTTATAGGAGAAGTGCTGTCTGTACATGACTAATCTGTGTGAGAGCGTGTTTATAGGAGAAGTGCTGTCTGTACATGACTAATCTGTGTGAGATCGTGTTTATAGGAGAAGTGCTCTCTGTACATGACTAATCTGTGTGAGAGCGTGTTTATAGCAGCAGTGCTGTCTGTACATGACTAATCTGTGTGAGAGCGTGTTTATAGCAGCAGTGCTGTCTGTACATGACTAATCTGTGTGAGAGCGTGTTTATAGCAGCAGTGCTGTCTGTACATGACTAATCTGTGTGAGAGCGTGTTTATAGCAGCAGTGCTGTCTGTACATGACTAATCTGTGTGAGATCGTGTTTATAGCAGCAGTGCTGTCTGTACATGACTAATCTGTTTGAGAGCGTGTTTATAGGAGAAGTGCTGTCTGTACATGACTAATCTGTTTGAGAGCGTGTTTATAGCAGAAGTGCTGTCTGTACATGACTAATCTGTGTGAGATCGTGTTTATAGCAGCAGTGCTGTCTGTACATGACTAATCTGTGTGAGAGCGTGTTTATAGGAGAAGTGCTGTCTGTACATGACTATTCTGTGTGAGAGCGTGTTTATAGCAGCAGTGCTGTCTGTACATGATTATTCTGTGTGAGAGCGTGTTTATAGCAGCAGTGCTGTCTGTACATGACTAATCTGTGTGAGATCGTGTTTATAGCAGAAGTGCTGTCTGTACATGACTATTCTGTGTGAGAGCGTGTTTATAGCAGCAGTGCTGTCTGTACATGACTAATCTGTGTGAGAGCGTGTTTATAGGAGAAGTGCTGTCTGTACATGACTAATCTGTGTGAGATCGTGTTTATAGGAGAAGTGCTGTCTGTACATGACTAATCTGTGTGAGAGCGTGTTTATAGCAGCAGTGCTGTCTGTACATGACTAATCTGTGTGAGATCGTGTTTATAGGAGAAGTGCTCTCTGTACATGACTAATCTGTGTGAGATCGTGTTTATAGGAGGAGTGCTGTCTGTACATGACTAATCTGTGTGAGAGCGTGTTTATAGCAGCAGTGCTGTCTGTACATGACTAATCTGTGTGAGATCGTGTTTATAGGCGAAGTGCTGTCTGTACATGACTAATCTGTGTGAGATCGTGTTTATAGCAGAAGTGCTGTCTGTACATGACTAATCTGTGTGAGATCGTGTTTATAGCAGCAGTGCTGTCTGTACATGACTAATCTGTGTGAGAGCGTGTTTATAGGAGAAGTGCTGTCTGTACATGACTAATCTGTGTGAGAGCGTGTTTATAGCAGCAGTGCTGTCTGTACATGATTATTCTGTGTGAGAGCGTGTTTATAGCAGCAGTGCTGTCTGTACATGACTAATCTGTGTGAGAGCGTGTTTATAGCAGAAGTGCTGTCTGTACATGACTATTCTGTGTGAGAGCGTGTTTATAGCAGAAGTGCTAACATAGTAATGACCGATGTCTCTGACATGCTGTTTAGATTTAAGCAATACTGTTCTAAACGTGACAGATCTGCCTGATAGCGTGTTAATGTTTCAGCAATACTGACCCTAAGATGACGGACTTGTCGGATTCGGACAGGGTGGAGTACTCGTCATGACCAGTCAAGTCACCCGGAAGAAGCCATTGATCCGGGCCCCTCCAATATGGAAGAAGCGAATGTGTCAGTGTCGGCAGGCGGTGTTCCTGTGTTTCGGCATCCCCCTTCTTCCCCCATCAGCCGTGCTCCTGGGGTTCGCCTTCATGACGCAACCAAGTATCGGTGTCTTCCATATCTGTGGGTTTGTGCTCATATTCGTGTCGTTGGTGTGCATCACCACAGCAATAGTGATGAGCCGGCTCCATAGACTCGCTCCCTCCACCCACATCAACAAAGTGCACAAGTCTGATCCAGAGGGACCCGTGCTCACCATACCCAGGCCGCCGAGACCACCGTCATCCTCATCTGTGTCTTCCGGACACGGAAACAGTGGTGGGAAATTACGCATGGTCAAACTATCATCGTCTTCCTTAGTAGCGGAATCAGAACTACCTTACCGCCCCAGGAAGAAGCGGAAGCGGAAACACAATGAAAAGTCCAAGACTATTCTTCCGCCGGTGAAAGAGGAGGATGGGCGCGCCCGCTTCGAGCAGACCCTCCAGGACAGGGAGAGGGACGGGACCAGGAAGATGCACAAACGGACTAAGTCTGAAAGTAGGAAAGGTTTTGAGGAATGTATGCCACAAGCAGCACCACCTAAACTAGCATTGACTAAAAAACATTTACGAATGTTGGGTCTGTATGACAACCAGGGTTCTGAGGAGAATCTCCAGATGAAAAGGTCGCTGTCGATGTCTGATATAGGAGACTCGGCCTCGGAGCGTCTTAGTGTTGATTTCCCTGACACACCTTCGGGCGGCAGGAGGTGAGTAAACCTTCTCGTGGGTATTAGTGGGTGTCGTAGTAGGGATGGGTGGGTGTTGTAGTAGGGGTGGGTGTTGTAGTAGGGATTACAGTGACAGGGAATTGTTGGGATGTGTGTGGGCAGTAAAGATATTCGACACTTAACAAGTATTTCACTTTAATGTACTGACATATCTGGTATCCCTATGGCACTAGTGTGGCAGTACAAATTCAAATGTAATACAATATGAGTGCAGTGGCTATATAGCAATAATGACATCGATCGTAGTATTAACCTCTGAGCAACAGTACTCCACCTCGGGAGAAAGGGCGAGACAGGAGGTATCCAGGGTAGGACCATCACATACATACTGCTGGTCTTCTTGTGGCTGGATATGTAATGTGATATGTCTGTCTAAATCTAGCACTGATCGAAATATACTACGTGTACTCTGTATAACAGTGGAACCATTGTTACATAATTTATAACACTGCCTCATAACACTGCCCCTGACGAGTAAATATAGTCGTGTGGTCGGGCTATGGGGCCTGGCTGAGAGTTCGTACCCCGATCAAGGGAAGCATTGCCCATACTTCCGACTCTACCAGGCCGCCGTTATACAGGTGGACTGTTGTTGACTGGGGAACTATACATGCACTCAATTTTTGTGTCTGGTGTCCCTCGCCGCCTTATTGCTGGAATATTGCTAAAAGCGGCGTTAAACTAAACTCACTCACTAACTCAGTTGTTGTACATGTGTTGAGTAATAGATGGGGAAGGTTAGCGACTCTGCCAATTCTCGGGGTAGCATAACAATATATTATATATCAGAATTTTGTGTATGAAATATTTTATATGTATTGTATATTACCTATAAATTCTAACATTTAGAAGAAATTGTATAACTGTTTTATTGATTGTGTGTAACGAATAATGTTTATTATATTCTAGATCTAAGCTCACTTAAAAACGGGACTGCTGCATGTCCGTGTGTGGGTAAATGTAGCATTCACGTAATGTAGACCAGATGCTTGTCACGTAGTCGTAGACGTTGTCTAACCATGTAGCTTCTTGCATCTGTAGAGATGACGACGACCACGACATAGACATCATCGTCCTGTAAGCAACCCCTGGTGTTGACTGCTGGTAGTAAGCATGTCGGGGTTGGTTGTGCGCCATGAATGTTTCCCGTCTTTGAGATCCCGTCTCCCACCTCCCCTACACCCTGGCAAATGATCACTTTTCACTAACATATTTCAGTACTTGCGGTATCAGTTTGTGCACGCTGTGGTTGCAATCTAACAGTTAGAAGTTGTTTTTAGTTAGTGTTTAGAATCCCCTAATCCTTGACTGACATTTTAGTTCACTTCAACTTCAGAACAGCTCAATCGACCTGAATCGTGTATAAAATGGAGCACTGTCGACCGGAAGCGTGTATAAAGCACATCTCTGTCGACCGAAAGCGTGTATAAAGCACATCTCTGTCGACCGGAAGCGTGTATAAAGCACATCTCTGTCGACCGGAAGCGAGTATGAGCTACAGTTCTGTCGATTTGAGTTTTGAATTTTGCTAATAAGTCGTGTTCGTCTGATGTGTGGAACCAAAAGTGAGAAAAATTGATGTCATCCTTTTTACCTGATAACAACTTGTCACTTAGTTTGAAGTTAACATAAACGCATTTTTCATGATATTGTTTTATAAAATAACATGGCATATATGTGTTGCAAGTTTTCCACTTATAATATTAATGAATCTTTTGGAGAAAGGAATGGCTGCAGACTGCATGGTGAAGGGTTCGTTGTTACATGTCGTTACATGGAGATGCACAAGGCTGGCAAACGTATCAAACGGTGTGCCAACACGACTCTGGTTGTATTTGAAAGCTGAAGGCTTGCATGCAGCGGGAATAAATGTGTTATTGGAAACTGGAGCAAGTGATGTACCATAAGGGCTTCACTGGCTGAGAAACCTCTGATACCGAGGCTGCTCCAATGATAGTCTATGATAAACTTGTATACCTTTATATATTCTGATTTCGGCAGAAAGAACATTTCTACGTAGGTTAAATACCTAAGGACATTTCTATGGCGCCAAATGTGACAACGACTCCTTCAGCAATATGTATAGCTTTATATGTCCGTGGATTTGTTGATGACAAATGACAATAAATCTGGTACATGTTTCAGGGACCCGCCGGACACTGGCAGCGTTACAGCCCGCCCTGTCTTGGTGCACACAACGGCCTCCAGAATAGGTGTCAGGGCCTCTCGATTTGCGTCAGTGTTATGATAAAACGTAAATCTCGAAATCAGGACACAACTAGTTACATGTACACAGCTTGCTGGTGGCTATGGTGGCTGTCGGTTTGTTTTTGGTGTCAAGTTGGTGAAACGTGGGCTACCAGTACACTACGATATAATGCTCCCTGTGACACAGATATCATGCAGCTCCTGTACCTTGACAGCGAGGGGACACATATAGACACAGATATCATACAGCTCCTGCACCTAGACAACCAGGGGACACACAGACACAGATATCATGCAGCTCCTGTACCTAGACAACCAGGGGACACATGGACACAGACATCATACAGCTCCTGCACCTAGACAACCAGGGGACACATGGACACAGATATCATACAGCTCCTGCACCTAGACAACCAGGGGACACATGGACACAGACATCATACAGCTCCTGCACCTAGACAACCAGCGGACACATAGACACAGACATCATACAGCTCTTGTACCTAGACAACCAGGGGACACATGGACACAGACATCATACAGCTCCTGCACCTAGACAACCAGCGGACACATAGACACAGACATCATACAGCTCCTGTACCTAGACAACCAGGGGACTCATATAGACACAGATATCATACAGCTCCTGCACCTTGACAACCAGCGGACACATAGACACAGACATCATACAGCTCCTGCACCTAGACAACCAGCGGACACATAGACACAGACATCATACATCTCCTGCACCTTGACAACCAGCGGACACATCTCCTGCACCTAGACAACCAGCGGACACATAGACACAGACATCATACAGCTCCTGCACCTAGACAACCAGCGGACACATAGACACAGACATCATACAGCTCCTGCACCTAGACAACCAGCGGACACATAGACACAGACATCATACAGCTCCTGCACCTAGACAACCAGGGGACACATGGACACAGATATCATACATCTCCTGCACCTAGACAACCAGGGGACACATAGACACAGATATCATACAGCTCCTGCACCTAGACAACCAGGGGACACATGGACACAGATATCATACAGCTCCTGCACCTAGACAACCAGGGGACACATGACACAGATATCATACATCTCCTGCACCTAGACAACCAGGGGACACATAGACACAGATATCATACAGCTCCTGCACCTAGACAACCAGCGGACACATAGACACAGACATCATACAGCTCTTGCACCTAGACAACCAGGGGACACATGGACACAGACATCATACAGCTCCTGCACCTAGACAACCAGGGGACACAACACAGGGATCATACAGCTCCTGCACCATATAGACACAGATATCATACAGCTCCTGCACCTTGACAACCAGCGGACACATAGACACAGACATCATACAGCTCCTGCACCTAGACAACCAGCGGACACATAGACACAGACATCATACATCTCCTGCACCTAGACAACCAGCGGACACATAGACACAGACATCATACAGCTCCTGTACCTAGACAACCAGCGGACACACATAGCCTAGACCAACCAGCGGACACACAGACACAGACATCATACAGCTCCTGCACCTAGACAACCAGCGGACACATAGACACAGACATCATGCATCTCCTGCACCTAGACAACCAGCGGACACATAGACACAGACATCATACAGCTCCTGCACCTAGACAACCAGCGGACACATAGGCACAGACATCATACAGCTCCGGTACCTAGACAACCAGCGGACACATAGACACAGACATCATACAGCTCCTGCACTTAGACAACCAGCGGACACACAGAGACAGACATCATGCCCCTAGTGCACCAAGACAGTATTAGGAACACGTTTAGTGGCAGCACCAGGCTATACACGATGTTGTTACATACGGTGTCTTAGCAGTAAATATGATACCGGCAGTAGACTCTAAACAGGAAAGAGACTGAAAAGGTCATTAGTAAGAATGATCAATATGCTTGAGAACTTTTAAAATCCAATTTATTTGCTCAAAATCCGGTTATGAGAAAGTATGACTTTGACGTTAGCGTGTAACTGCTCGACTTATACACTCTGTTATATTTTTGTGTAATTTTGCTAGTATACGGTTCTGCTTTGGTCAAAATGATGCTTTCAAACACTTGAGTGATGTACATTGTAGTTGCCGCCATGCCTGATATCTGCCACATACATACAGTGTAAGCGTAACACGTCCAGGTATGTTCGTGGAGCATCGGAACCTTGCTTTACTCTAATTTCTGTCAATACTTACCTTTTATACTCTAAATATTTTAGTGAACATTATGTACCACTTGTCTAGTTAAGTGCAGGGAGAGTTCAGGTATCCTTCTTTACCATTCTAAAAACCAGTGTATCAGGATCTACAGGATCACGGGTGGAATGGACTGAGAAAGGTGATGATTTGACCATCAGGTGATACATGATCCTCTGAGACGTTTCTCATGATGCCTTCCAAACGTTGCTATGGAGACCCTTGGAGGGGAGTTAAACAGGACGTTTGCCGTTGAAACGCCGGAACTCTTTGTGCTCCCTGACTATACAACAACGGGTACACCCCTGCTCTTCCATACAGTCTGTGATGTCATTGCTAGCACTGCTAACATCTCGGTTAAACCAGTGTCACATTTGCGCTTTGTAGTGGACGTAATGGTGTTCCAGATGATAACACATTGAGACCAGGTTCATGTTATAACACATTATTCATGGGGGTGGATGGAGACTGTGATAAACTTTGGACAATTAGCTAACAATAAATGTACGTCCCTTGTCAGTGGTAAATTTGGTTTATGAAATGCTTTGTTCAATCAGTCTGCGAATGTTCATGTTTGTACATTTCAAGTATGAATAAAGCACACATGTTGTAAAGTGCCAGATGCTGATTGCATTACGTTACATATGCTCTCCATTATGTATCCACTGAATGTCAAGTCGATGTTCCCTGTGTTTTGGTTCATATCACATAGGTAACGTCCAGGAGAGACTCATTATGTAGAGACCTATACCTGACCACACAAACAAAGCTTGTTCATTTTGAGCCGATCACCTACCCGGGACACCAGGTCGGCAAAGCCCGCCACCAACTGTCGAACATGGAAGCTCCAACGGCTTTATCCACAATCACACTAAGGGACGCAACTCCGCTCACCTCATCGTAATGCGTTGAAACATGAACGAGCGTGCCACTCCAGAAATGAAGCAGCGTTTGTATTGTATGTTGTCTCTGAACAAAGGAACACTTATGTAGCTGTAGTCAAGAACTCAACCGTTGCTATAGACGATCCATCAGACCATCTCAAATGTCCTTCACGTGAGACATCGAAGGGCCGTAAAATCCTCAACCAAAGGGTAATGAATGGACGTTTTCTGCTTGTACACTCACTTCTGACACTCAGTTGAGGTGAATTAAATAAATTTGTCAGTTTTCCCAAACAAGAAAAGCAAAACGAAAAGCAAAACAAAAAGCTAAACATGAAAGCCAGTATTGTAAGAGTGACAACAGAAAGACCGATTCTAATCCGTATGTTCACGGGCAGTTGGTATATGCAGTGAAGACATTGCATCTTCGTGCCGGCGCATTACTTATTATATTATTTAATCAGGGCTCTTTACTAATGATGCATCCATTATTAAAGAATCTCTTTAAGATCCGTGCTAGAATTTGTCCTTAACAACCCATGCTTGTCGTAAGAGGCCACAAATGAGATGGGGTGGTCAGGCTCAAACAATATCGCTGGAATATTGCGCCTTTTAACAAATGCACAAATCCTATTGAAGCGATTGCACTGAGTGAAACTAGATTCCTATTGTTCAGACGCCGCAACCATCTGCTTGTTGAGTATAGATCTGACACAGATGTGTGTGCAGATAGATACCTGAACACGTTTCATGAACGTCTGAGTTACCCACGCTGTCACAGTTCAACATGCAGTGTGTTGTTTAAAATCGTTTTAACTCCTTCACCTGGCCACCGATTAGACAGTTCTGTACATTTCAACAGGTGTGACATGTGCCTTAAACACAGTGAATATGTTATGTGAGCAGTAGACGATGTGTTCAACCCTCTGACCAACATCCTCCATCAGGCTGCTTCAACAGCGGCGACAGATGGAGCGACACATCGCATGTCGGCAGCCAGGAGGTCGATACTGTCACTGGGATAACTACTGCTGCTGGGGAACGCTGGATTAAATATATACAGCAGGAAGACCAGGTATTGCCAGACAAATAGCTACCATTCACACGGACTGGTCTGATGATGAGAGGTAGGTGTGTTGAATATGATCACATGGTCAGACATTGAGGGGATTCAGGAAGCTCCATGCAGTGTACATGCAACTAGTGTGTTTACTAACAACCGTTGTTTAGGGGACACTGCAGTGTGACGAGTTTATGTCCTGATAGAGCATTCCTGCAGCTGTCAGTGGAGTGATTGAGTGAGTGAGCTTAGTTTTTCGCCGCTTTTAGCAATATTCCAGCAATTTCACGGCGGGGACACCAGAAATAGGCTTCACACATTGTATCGAACCCGGGTCTTCGGCGTGACGAGCGAACGCTTTAACCATTAGGCTACCCCACCGCCCAAACAGTTCGTGGAACTTCCCGCGGGAAATACCGTGTACGTTGCCGCACATACGACACGTGCTTGTTTATATGTTTCTGGTATGATCGTGATGCCTTCTGTGTTGTTTCAATTTATGATAATATTCGTTAAATTTCCCAAAATATCGCACAGACTGCTAAATTTAATAACGACAGACGCAGGCTGTTCCTGCAACAGTTCTACTGTCACTTTCCCCTCGTAAAACTTCACCCGGAAAATCAAAACAAACTGATGATAGTTTGTTAAGTAACTTTTTTATTTTGGGGACAAACGTTATGAAACTTTTTTCCAGATTTGGTCTGATGTTTGTTTTACATTCTGCGTTGAAATGAATGTTTGATCATGAACCCATGTGGAGTTAGATTGTGATTCATCGGTATCCATCTGACCCAAACAGACTGTAAATGCCATGTGTGTTTCATCGGTATCCATTTGACCCAAACAGACTGTAAATGCCATGTGTGTTTACATCTGTCAAAATGGCAGCTTCATCCTGGAAGCAGTGCTGGAATGAGGGAAACTTGGACATTTCCTCTTTGATAAAAATGACAGTACATGGAGATAAATGTTTACCCAGCATCTGGTAACGGTATGGGTATCGGATATTCCGTTATATGATCAGACTAAATTACCAATGGACATATTGTAGCTGGGAATGCGTCTGAAACGGTTAAATCGGGGAACACTGATATTGCCTGAATATTCTGGGGACAATGTATACTCCATGAGTGAATAACGCAAAACATATATTCCCTGAAAATGTCATATTTCCTGATTTGACATATCTGATTATCAGTGCATATCAACACATTATGTCTGTTATCGACATCGTGTGCACAGGTGTCGACCGGCTGGTAATGACGTAATACTTTAACACTTCCCATCTGCTACATTGAGCGATCAATAAACATATTTCTGGGGATCTCTGCAAAACAAATATTAATAATAAACAAATAAAAGAACTATGTTGGTTCAGAAAGATCGCTTTCAATAATTGCCACATCATTTCGAACATACGATCCAACATCTCATCAAGTATCGTACTGAAGAGAAGGTCTGGGGTGGAGTAACACTCATGGCATACCGCTGATAGGGGTTTCCTTGCTACTGCACACACTGATTTGTGATGGTGGTGTGAGTGACGATTCTAAACATTGCATAGTGATGTGATAGTGTCTAGATCCAATACATTACCTATCTAGAGATCCTACCCAGTGTGTGTCTATATCCAGTATATTGCCTAGACATCCAACCCAGTGATGTGACAGTGTGTGTCTATATCCAGTATATTGCCTAGACATCCAACCCAGTGATATGATAGTGTGTGTCTATATCCAGTATATTGCCTAGACATCCAACCCAGTGATGTGACAGTGTGTGTCTATATCCAGTATATTGCCTAGAGATTCAGCACAGTGATGTGATAGTGTGTGTCTATATATACACCAACGGTAAATCAAATTGGGTAACGAATGTTATAAATTTACTAAATCATTGTGGTTTTAGTAATGTATTTTTGTCACAAAAGATTACCTGCCCAAAGTCATTTTATAATGCTTTATCGCAAAGATTAAAAGATATGTACATTCAGACCTGGAACTCATCTTTAATACAGTCGCCAAAATCCAGTACTTTTAAATCTTTTTGCCATACAGAGCAATACCTACACGATATCACAGTGATGTCCAGATAGATGTGTGTGTCTTATATCCAGTATATTGCCCTAGACATGCCATCCACTTTTGCTGATGTGATAAGGACAAAATATCTACCACAATATTCTATATCCATGTTTAAATTTAAAGATAATGAACTCTAATAATACAACTTATATTCGTAAACTTGGTATGTATTTTGCAGAAAATAACTGCAAAAATTGTGATGTATAATTCGAAGATGAATAGGCCCAGTGTTGATTTGATAGTGTGTATCTATATCCAGTATATTGCCTCCAGAGATTCAACTACAGTGATGTGATAGTGTGTGTCTATATCCAGTATATGCCTAGATCCAGAGATTCAACACAGTGATGTGATAGTGTGTGTCTATATCCAGTGTATTGCCCTGGAGTAATTCCAACCCAGTGATGTGATATATTGGGTGTGTCTATATCCAGTATATTGCCTAGAGATTCAGCCCAGTGTTGTGATAGTGTGTATCTATATCCAGTATATTGCCTAGAGATTCAGCCCAGTGTTGTGATAGTGTGTATCTATATCCAGCATATTGCCTAGAGATTCAGCACAGTGATGTGATAGTGTGTATCTATATCCAGCATATTGCCTAGAGATTCAAGTGATGTGATGTGTGTATCTATATCCAGTGTATTCTATATCAGTATATTGCCTAGAGATCCAATTGCCCAGTCAAAACACAGTTTGATAGTGTGTATCTATATCCAGTATATTGCCTAGAGATTCAACCCAGTGATGTGATAGTGTGTATCTATATCCAGTATATTGCCTAGAGATTCAACACAGTGATGTGATAGTGTGTGTCTATATCCAGTATATTGCCTAGACATCCAACCCAGTGATGTGATAGTGTGTATCTATATCCAGTATATTGCCTAGAGATTCAGCACAGTGATGTGATAGTGTGTATCTATATCCAGTGTATTGCCTAGACATCCAACCCAGTGATGTGATAGGGTGTGTCTATATCCAGTATATTGCCTAGAGATCCAACCCAGTGTTGTGATAGTGTGTATCTATATCCAGTATATTGCCTAGAGATTTAGCACAGTGATGTGATAGTGTGTGTCTATATCCAGCATATTGCCTAGACATCCACCACAGTGATGTGATAGTGTGTGTCTATATCCAGTATATTGCCTAGAGATTCAGCACAGTGATGTGATAGTGTGTGTCTATATCCAGTATATTGCCTAGAGATCCAACCCAGTGATGTGATAGTGTGTCTATATCCAGTATATTGCCTAGAGATTCAACACAGTGATATGATAGTGTGTGTCTAGATCCAGTATATTGCCTAGAGATTCAACACAGTGATATGATAGAGTGTGTCTATATCCAGTACATTGCCTAGAGATTCAACACAGTGATATGATAGTGTGTATCCATATCCAGTATATTGCCTAGAGATTCAACACAGTGATATGATAGTGTGTGTCTATATCCAGTATATTGCCTAGAGATTCAACCTAGTCATGTGATAGTGTGTGTCTACATCCACTACATTGCCTAGAGATTCAGCACAGTGATGTGATAGTGTGTATCTATATCCAGTATATTGCCTAGAGATTCAACCTAGTCATGTGATAGTGTGTGTCTACATCCACTACATTGCCTAGAGATTCAGCACAGTGATGTGATAGTGTGTATCTATATCCAGTATATTGCCTAGATATTCAACCCAGTGTTGTGACAGTGTGTATCTATATCCAATACATTGCCTAGAGATCCAACCCAGTGTTGTGATAGTGTGTATCTATATCCAGTATATTGCCTAGAGATTCAACACAGTGATGTGATAGTGTGTGTCTATATCCAGTATATTGCCTAGAGATCCAACCCAGTGTTGTGACAGTGTGTATCTATATCCAGTATATTGCCTAGAGATTGAACAGTGTTGTGATAGTGTGTATCTATATCCAGTATATTGCCTAGAGATTCAGCAGAGTGATAGTGATAGTGTGTATCCAGTATATCCTAGACATACCCAGTGATGTGATAGTGTGTATCTATATCCAGCATATTGCCTTGAAATTCAGCACAGTGATATGATAGTGTGTATCTATATCCAGCATATTGCCTAGAGATTCAGCATAGTGATGTGATAGTGTGTGTCTATATCCAGTATATTGCCTAGAGATTCAGCACAGTGATGTGATAGTGTGTATCTATATCCAGCATATTGCCTAGAGATTCAGCATACAGTGATGTGATAGTGTGTGTCTATATCCAGTATATTGCCTAGAGATTCAGCACAGTGATGTGATAGTGTATCCAGTATATTCTATATCCAGTATATTGCCTAGATCAGTATATTCCAACCCAGTGATGTGATAGTGTGTATCTATATCCAGCATATTGCCTAGAGATTCAGCATAGTGTTGTGATAGTGTGTATCTATATCCAGTATATTGCCTAGAGATTCAGCACAGTGATGTGTGATAGTGTGTATCTATATATAGCATATTGCCTAGAGATGTGTCTATATCCAGTATATTGCCATCAGTGATGTGATAGTGTGTATCTATATCCAGTATATTGCCTTGAAATTCAGCACAGTGATATGATAGTGTGTATCTATATCCAGTATATATTGCCTAGAGATTCAGCACAGTGATCAGCATAGTGATAGTGTGTATCTATATCCAGTATATTGCCTAGACATTAAGCACAGTGATGTGATAGTGTGTATCTATATCCAGTATATTGCCTAGAGATTTAGCACAGTGTTGTGATAGTGTGTGTCTATATCCAGTATATTGCCTAGAGATTTAGCACAGTGTTGTGATAGTTGTATCTAGATTCAGTATATTGCCTAGTGATATGATAGTGATAGTGTGTATCTATATCCAGTATATTGCCTAGAGATTTAGCACAGTGATGTGATAGTGTTTGTCTATATCCAGTATATTGCCTAGAGATTCAGCACAGTGATGTGATAGTGTGTGTCTATATCCAGTATATTGCC